ATCTTCCTGTTGCATGTCTACATGGAGAAAATAATTCTCATTCCCTTTTTCATAAAGGCCGGTTGTGCATAGCCTAGTTGTTTGTCCACTAATGTGGGCTTCTGGAAGGAAGGAAACTTTGTCTAATAATAGCAGTGCCTTATATTTACACATAGCTTATAATTCACCAAATGTACTCACACATGTCAACTCATATCAGCCTCACCATGTTCCCTGGAGGTAGGACAGACAGGTTAAGTATATTGTAACTTAATAGAAGCAAGCAGACCATTTGATAGAAGCAAGCAGAGTACCTTCAGAGTTGGAGTGATCAGGGAAACCTTTTAGGAGAAAGTAACATTGAATATGAAAAACAAGAATGGACAGAGTTTTGCATAGGTAAGGAGTGGAAGAAATAACCTTCCAAAAAAGGAGGTGGGATTCAAACAAACTGCAAATATTTATTAAGCTACTACTCCAAAACCCAGTAAAATCAGCAGGATCCAAAATATTTTAACGTTTTTCTGTAGGAAATAGACACCATTAAAGAATCGCAACTCATGGAGTGATATAATCAGATTCACTGCAGAAGCAGTTGAGTTTCGCGTATGTCAGGCTGGTGAAAGTGAGGCTGTCCAGGGGGCTATTAGAGGGGAAAAGTAAAAAATGATGTAGACATTAACTAAGGCATTAACAATGAATACGGAAAAAAGATATTTATGAAAGTTTGGGTGATTGGATTCAGAGTGTGATACAGGGAACATGACAGTTGAAACCTTCAGAAAAGATAAGCTTTTATATCTCAAAGGCCTTAAAAATGTGCATGCCCTTTGACGTAATTACGTCCACTGGGATTTTAGACTAAAGAAATAAATCTTGCAAAGGCAAAATCTCTTTCCACAAATATGTTCATTATAGCATTATTTTTAAGAGTAAAAATTTGGGAACAACCTAAATGTTCAAATATGACATGATTGTATAAATTTTTGTGCAATAAGATTATAATGACACCAAAAGATTAAACAAAAAATTTGAAAGATATTTTTAAAAGACCCAAATAAACAGAGAGACATATTTCCTGAATAGGAAGAATTAGTTCCTTAATTATTTTTCTCAAATTAATATGTAATTTCAACATGCCAAAGACATTTTTTTATTTGAACAAATTGATTCTTAAAGTTTATGGGAGAATAGATAAATAATATTTAAGAAAATTCTAAAAGGAAAGACTGTGATGAATTACTTTCACTGTACTAACAGGTTGTACAGTACACTATTTTTACAAGACAGTTATCAAAATTGTGCACTATTGGCATGCAAATAAGACTGCCAAACGAAACAGAGTGGTGTCTAGAATAGATATAAATATATATGGCAATGATATGTGCCACTAGAAATCAAAGTAGAAATCACAGATTTTTCAATAAAGGGTAATGGGATAACTGACTATGCTTTTGGAAAGAGTATATTTAATTCTCTACCTCATATAAGGTTTAAAACCAATTCCTAGGATTAATAAACATCTTTTTTTTAATTTAGCTGTATGAGAAGCAAATAAGCAATACAGAAAACTCAACCTTAATAGAATATAATTGACAGGTTTGACTAGGTGAAAACTAAAAACTTGTGTGCAGTAAAATAGTGCATAAACAAAACCAAGGGAGACAGGACAGACACAGAGAAATGTTTACAATGTACTTAACAAAGCGTTAATATGTACAATAGTAAAGGAGAACTCAAAAACCGATTTTTAAAAAGGCAAACATACCAGAAGAAATATAGGCATAGGATTGAACAGACACAGCATCAGAGGAAAAAAACACAAATAATAATAAGCATGTGAACTCAACCTCACAAGAAGTCAGGAAGCTATTAATTAGAAGAACCATATGACACTATATTTTGCTTGTCAGACCTGCAAAATTAGATTGATACAGTGCCAGCAAGTACGTAAGCAAACCTCCTTGGTAGGAGTGTACATTGGTAGGAGTGTATATTGGCAACTATTTTAGGAAGAATCTGGAGGTATACATAAAAATTTTAAATGTCCCTACCCTATGACTCAGTTATCTCACTTCTAGGACTTCTGTAACATTTTTTGAGAGCAGTTTGGCAGCAATTTATGAAAATTTTAGTTCTCATTCCTTTGACCCAACAATGACATTTCTAAGTATCCATCCTAAGCTACATGAGAAGATAATCATGGCAGCACTTTTTACAATAAAAAATCAAAATTGCTGAAGATCGAACAATGGAAGGATAACAGAATAAAATACAAACTAGGGAGCCATTAAAAAGACTGGGTTAAATCTATAGCTAGTAACCCAGAATATACACTTGCATTAAGCTTAAAAAAAATTAGTCATAGAAATTACTCCATTTTTTTCTTTAAAAAAATATGTGCATATGCATATAGAGACATGACTACATACATGTAAGAAGAGGAATAGATATGCACCAATATGTTAATGGTGTTCACCTCTAGAGATGAGATCAGCTAAAAGGGAAGTGTGTGATTTGGGAAGATACTTTTTTACTTTGTAGAGTTTGGGTTTGTTTTGTTTTTGTTTTAATTCTTTTATTAAGGCACATACAATAAAATCCATAAATCTTAGTGTGTAGCTCAATGCGTTTTGACATGTGTATACTCGCATGTACCCATCAGCCAGATTAAGATATCAAACGTTTTCACTACTGTTTTTTCCTTTCATCTAGATTGTTTTTAACAGTGCTGGGATTGGAGCTGATTTTTGACTCTTTTAGTATTGTTAGCATTTTTTTCTTTTTTTTTCTTTTTAAGAAAGGAATGTAGTCCTTGAAGAAGAAAAATGAAGGGCCAAAGACAAAACTGCTGTCATTCAGGAAGGAAGGGAAAGAGGTGGGGCCCAGGCAAAAGCCAACATAGGAGTGCCACAGACAGACAGGGGCCCAGGGGGCAGGCATGGGGCAGAGCCAAGGACTAAGAAAGAGAATGCTGCAGAGAAGCCAGGAAGATCAGCCAAGGCAGCAGGTGATGCGGAGTAGTGGTGGAAGGTGGGTGCACAAGGGGCTGAAGGCAGCTGCCTCCCACCCTGCCTGTGCATCTCTGTAGAGCCAGACAAACCAGGACCCACCCTAAACCTCCTGAATTAGAGGCTCTCGAATGACACCTGGACCCAGGACGTTTGAAGCACTCCTCAGCTGAGTGTGGGGTACAGCCAAGGTTGAGAAGCACTGAGCCAAGGCAACGAGAGCACCTCAAGTCAGGGAAGCTGAGGAGTGTAGATCATTCCTTCACCGAGGCTGGCAGGTAAAGAAAGAACTGGCTTAAACTGTCAAGTCACCTTGACCTTCCTTCTGGGTCAAGGAAGATGTGAGGATGGGCTGGGCTGAGATGAAAAAGCTCATGGGGCAGGAAAGATTAAACATTCAAGCAAGGTGGGGGAAAGGGGAAGGAAAAAAGGGAACCTAATGTTTTGGGACTTTGTTATTTGTCAGGAATTTTATATACACTATCACTATTACTTGTCCTTTGGTGATTAGTAATCACCACTATTACTATTTTTGAGACATGTATTTTTGCATCTGATCTGCAGCCAGGCAAGTAAAGCCAAATGAATAACAAGGACCCAACCCCATGTCAATGTTGGGGCCCTCCCTCTGCATGGGGCCAGGCAGTGAGGTCTAGGAGACAATGGGCAGGGAAGAGGTCCAGGTCTCAGCTGGTGGAGCAGCATGGAAAGAAAGGAGGAACACACCCACTGAGACGGAGACAAGCAAAGAGGGAGCATGCACAAAGGGGCTGGCATGTCAGTGTGGCGAGAAGGGGGCAGGGACAGAACAATCGGGGCAGAGAATAAAGAGCTGAGGCTCAGAACAGAGTTCTCCATCATCTCAGTGTATAGCTGAGATGGGGCAGTTCACTAAAAGTGAATGCTGATGGCTCAGGGACAGTGCCTGTGTGCTGAACAACAGAGCAGAAAGCCAGCTTTTGCTCCTCTCTCCCAAAGAGATGTGGACTCATCTTTCAATGACCAGTCTGTCACCCGCTGGAAGCTATGAGCATAGATAAGCTGAGCTGTCTGCAGCGGACTGAGAACTACAGGAGTAAAAGCAAAGTCCTCTCCTTCTAAGCGCTGACAGTCTAGAATTACCCAGAGTGACATTTCCTCACCAGCTTTTAACATTGTGTGATTGGAACAACTCCAAAAAATTAAGTGATCCTTTGCTTTGCAAAGGTCATATAGAAATATTCTGCCATGGAAGATCCATGTCACCCAGTGGTTTTGAAAATAAATAGGGTTTGCATACCTTTGAGGCCATCCATGAGCAAATGTAAATATGCTTGGATGATCACAGGAAGCACATGAAGATTGTGCCTGAAAGACACCCCTTCCCTCAGCTAAGAGAAGCAGATGGAGGTGCCAGTTTACTTGTACAAGGTACTGCTACTGAACAGGAAGCATCAGGTGATTATGCCTATGTAGGTCCTCTGGGCTTCGAGTCAAAAAAGATCCCCAAAGCACCCTGGGATTATCAGTGTTTTCCTGAGGCCTGGCAAGTGGCTGCTGCTGAATGGCATTTGCCAATTACTCCAGAGTGGCAATCAAGCAAAAGGGGAAAGTCCAACAGTCCAATAACTATTTTATTTTTGAAACCCAATTGCCTTTGTTTAAAATTCTCCTCGGCAACCCTCTGGATTATGAAACTGTCAGCTGCAATATTAATTAATAGCATTGAACAGACACACTAGAACTTACTAATCGTGTATAACTTTGCATCAGGCATCTGCCACTTCTTGTTTCAGTAAAATTTTTGCAAGAGAAAAGGTGGCAGTTTATGTGTGGTGTTACTACCCAAAAAGGTCAGAACCATGTACAGCTCTACTAGAAAACATAAATTCTACCTTTGTGGAAAACAACAAAGTGTGGATTACTTAGGCATCACCTCAGTGTCACACTCATCTGGCAAAAAATAAACACAGCACCTGGGAAGTTTGGGTTTTTGAGTATCAAAAAAGAAAGCAAAACTTGCCTGAGTCCTTGACTGTTTATTTTCTTTCTGACACTTCCTGCTCCTGGGATTCAAATCCCTGGAGCCCCCATCAAATACTGTCAAGCTTCCGTTCAAAGTTAGTCAGAATTAAGGAAAGAAATTGGACCCGGTGACACTCCACATCTGGGCTGCCAGGAGCAATACCATCTTTGAGGTCATTCAGTTTATTGACATTTTTATTATTATTATTGTTTTGTCTATTTTCTGCTACAGTCCCAGAGGAAGATGTGTGGCCCCGAACGTGCCAACCTGATCTGGGAGAAGCAACTAATCCCCATGTCTTTGCTGCGCCCGGCTCTGCACCGACCTCAGCTCACCTTGTAAAGTAGCAGGCTCTGGGCGTTTTGCATGCTGTGGAGAATCACTGTTTTGCCTTCAGCAAGGAACGTAAATGTTGCAACACTGACTCCTCCTCTAATGAAGAAAGAGTGAACAAGTGCACAGAGTGAGGCTGCTGCTCCAGAGCCAGGCGGCTGGGGACGGCTGAGCCGGGCTGAAATCCCAAGACGCCTGTCGCCGGGGCTGGGCTTCCTCCGCCCCCTCCGCATTCGTCTTACTCGCTCCGCTCCCTCTTTCTGGATTTTACCGGCTGTGCGTGGAACTGCTTTACACACCATGGAGCTCCACGTCCCTTTGCAGGAAGTGCTCTCAGACTGATGCGCTGATCGTCGCTCACGGCACAAGTGAGTAGCCCCGGCAACTTGAGCCAGCCGCTAGTGGAGCGGCGCCGCGGCCGTGAGTTCGAGGTCGCTACGGGGCGGGAGCGGGGGTGCGGGAAAGTGACAGAAGCCCGCTGAGCAGGGCGGAGGGAGCGGGGCGGCCCGTCTGCAGCGGGATCACTGTCACAGGAACTGAAGATACTATACACTACGCGCTGTCCCACTCCCCCAGAATTTACAACTGCACACGCTAGTCTTTTTAAAAGGCAACTTCAGATGCACCATGAGAATGAATGAGTTTCGGCTTGGTGGTGGGATTCTCAGAATGCAAAATTTACATCAGATCGCAGAGAAAAAAATAGCGGGAAGGGCCTCAGACGGGTGTCGGTGGTGACGGAGGATTGAGGATTTTCCTACCCATCGCAGCAGCCTCCCGGGTATCCGGTGCGGAAAGTTTAGTGGTACCGGTGCCGACCCGAAAGGCGTGGCTCCCCGCATAAGGCAGTGAGGTAATGGCAGGTAAGCAGCCCCCTGGCTGTAACCCCTAACCCGGAGCAGGAGGGAGGCGGTTGACCTCAGCAGAGGCTTGCCAGCCCGGGAGGCAGCTGGAAGGAGAGCCCGCTGGTGGTTAGAGGAGGAGAGAGGAGCCGATGGTGGGAAGGCCGGCGAACTCAGGGAATTGCGGAGCCAGCGCGCTGTGGGCAAGAGCGCAAGCGCTGGATCTCTAGCCCTCTGAGTAGGAAAATACCATTTTAGTGACCTCTACCTGTATCCTGGAGAAGCAGCCCACGTTGCCCTAATAACAGCAGTTTAGAATTTTCTAGGATTGAACTTGAAAATGCTTGCAAAACGTTGTTATTCATCTGGAGGGATTCGTTTGTTTTCATTCATCAAGTTGGCTGACAAAGATTTCCCACCTGAGTCTCACGCTTCTTGGTCCATGGAGTGTTGCTAATCCTAGCCTTGGCTCTGGCTGTGCAAACTTGAGCAAGACATGTTTCCTCCCTGTGCCTCAGTTTCCTTTGCAACATTTAGGGATATTAATTATTCCATGTATATACCATTCATTATATGTGTGCATATGGGTGCCCGTGTGTATACACACACTATAATATATACATATGTATACACACACTCGTTTATGTGTGTGTGTGTGTATATGTAAATATAGTAAAGTGCTGAATAGTGCAAGTGAAAATTTTAACTTTAGTTGTTCTTAAAAACTGGGGATCTTAGGTCCTTTTGAGAATTAGCTATGAATCCTCTCCAAAGGGAGAAAAAATATTCTTGGAAAACATACGTAAAGTTTTGCAAGCAATCCCTGAGGGTTTGTGGAACCTCCTGAAGACCCTGCCTGAACCCCAGGCATGTTGCCTTCCTTCTGAGGACTTTATCAAAACCACACGGCCACACCTCCTCCACTGGCAGCTAGGCCGGCTGCACATGTAACCTGCAGCCTTTGCCAGAGTCTGGATCAGCCAGGCTGCTGAAGGAGAAAGCCCTGCCCTCGGGAGTGAGCTCCCGGGACACTGTTTCCCAAAAGCATCACCAGTCTCTGCCTCCTGGGAAAACCCCACCTTACAAACTCTTTTAATCACTTTCCTAAGGTGATGGTCCTCACCCCTAGACTTTTCAGTCCTACAAACAGAGCTGGAGAGCCACCTGTCTGTTTCAAAGAGAGCTCTTCAGTCACCTAGCTGGATGTCAGACAAAGGCTCTCTTGGGAAACAAAGTGCTGTTTGCTCCCCAATATAGTGGGAATAGTAATGTGTTCTTTCGGACCTCTGCACTTTTCCTTTAAGGCACTAGAGACTCATGCCTTGTCTGACCTGAGTCTTCCAACTGGTAATGCCAGCAAGGTGTAGCAGGGGACACATGGAGCTTTGAAGCCCATTGGACTGGGCTTCAAATCTTGACTCCCACACATAAGCAAGTCACTGAACTTCTCTGAGCCTCACTTTTCCTGTCTGTAAAATGGGGGACAGTACTGCCTTTCTTGCACAGTTGTTAGGGGAGTAGAAAATGAAAAATGGAAATGTCTGGTCTATAGTCAATAAACTGTTATTATTAATGTTAATTTAAGGTTTTAAGTAAGTGTTAAATGATCTCATGTTTTTTAAGAGCAGCTTACTCTCTCCTGTGGGCCTTATATCAGCAAAAGAATGAGTAAAATCAGCTCTGGTCTCATTATTCTCAAAGATGAATGGTTCATAATACAAAGCCAGCTTTACTGCTTCACCAGCAAATAAAATGTGTCCAGACTGGCGTGGGTTCTCAACCCTTTCTCTCGCTTGGCCCATTGTCTTGAATACAAAGCATAGGACTGTGCCTGTCACCACAGACCTCATGGCATGGAAACTGGAAGGGTCTCATGGCTAGATCCATCACCAGGTAACACCGGAAACTCTCTTTGTAAAAAAAGATATGTCCCCACTGTCATCATTCACAAGTGGCACAGACTTAGCCAGTTTAGCTTCCCTTCCTTGGTCTTTCTCTATTTGTCCCTCTCTTTCTCTGCAGTCCTGAACCCTTTGTTGTGAGAAGTTGGATGGTGCATGAATGTAGGAAAGAAATACCAGAACCTTGAAAGGAAATTCAATACTCTCAAAGTAGCCATTCCCAAGATGACCTGTATATTTTGGCAAGGCATTCTTGTATGCAAAGATGACAATATCGATACCTACTATTCACTGAACCACCAAGCTGTGTTAAACATTTTTCTACTTTACCTCAAGTCTGGAGGGTACAAGTTATCATTTAAAACTTTACAGACTAAAAAAATAATAAGAATAAGGATTTACATTATTTGCCCAGTCTCCAGAGCTGGTAAAAGGCAGAACCAGGATCCAAGTCCAGGTCTGTCTGACTGCCACTTTCACTCCTTTTCCACTGCAGAGTGCTGCCAAACTCCTTGATTATCAGAAAGTTGCATCATGCCAACTGGGTCTCAACCCAGTTCTTCTAAAAGGCAGGAATAACCAAATCTTCTGGATGATTTAAGTGGTGTGAACATATACTTTGCATGTAATATATATTAACAGGCAACAACAATGAGAATGTTCTCAAACTTGTGGAGAATAATTTTCACAACCCTTCCCAAGTCCAGCTATTAGACTCAAGTTAGGCAATAGCAGACCTCAGCAGGTGAAGCTGACTCTTGGCCACTAACTGAGAGAATCTTTTAGGTTAAAAAGAGCTCTGGAATTTCCTTCTCTACCACCTTTAGAATCAAGACATAATTTACATTTACCTCCCTGTGTGAACATTCATTCATTTATTCATTCACTCCACAAATACTTGCTAAGCTCTGAATCAGACAAATAAGGTCATCTACAGAGCGTATATGCTAGAGAGAGTAACAGGTAACAGACAGGTCAGCAAATACATAAATAAGGTCATTTCGGATATTGACAAATGATATGAAGAATGTGAAGAGAGGCTAGGCGCTGGAGTAACAGGACTTGTGGGCAACTTTAAACAGGGCAGCCAGAGAAGATTTCCACCTGAAAATCACTCGTTAATTAAATATGCATACTGAGAGGGAGCCAGCCCTGTGAAGGTCTGGGGAAAGGGCTGCCTTGCAGAAGAAACCTTAAGGGAAAGATCCAGAAATGGACTGAGTGAAGCAGTAGAGCCTGAAATACGAGATGGCCTCTTAGAAAACCAGATGGGTTATATAAAGGGGGAATTGTTGTTTGAATGCCTATTATACTATTCTAGGCTGGGCTGTGCACTTTGTCTATCTTATTTAATCTTCCCAGCAATCTGGTGAGACAGCTAGTTTTATCTTGATTTGATTTGATAAAGAGAGTGAGGCTCTTAGAGGGTGAGGAGTTCACCCAAGCCCACAAAGCTAGTATTTGATCCCCTAGTCTGATTTGCTCCAAAGCCCAAAATTTTTGCTCACACAGAATGTGACCTTTGAGATAATCTCTTCTAGAGCTAGCAGAAGCAAAACCTCAAAACTGTATTAAATACATAAATGCTGCCAATGATTTCTATCTGATGTCCCACACTCTAGTTAGTGTGTCTAAACCTGCACTGTGCAATACAGGAGCCCTAGCCACATTAGTTATTTGGTACCTGGAATGCGACTGGACCAAACTGAGGTGTGTTTTAAGTGATACACCCTAGATTTCAAAGACCTAGTAAAAAAAAATAATTTCATGAATTTTTATATTGCTCTATGTTAGAATGATATTTTGGTTGTGTTGCTTTGGATGAAATATATCACTAAAATTAATTTCATCCATTTTCTTTAAACTTTCTTAATGTGGTTAAGTTTAAGAGAAAATTTAAAATCACATACATGAGTCACATTGTATTTCCCTTTAACAACACTGGTGTAGACTAGCTTGACAAAGGCGACAGGGAATTTTCTCCTTTATTCTTAACATAACTTTTCCTCTACCCGTAGCTCAGACGCCTTTTCAAGTCAGTCCCCAAATTCAGTTATTTGGTGAAGCAGTAAAAAAGAAAAGAGGTCCCTCTGTGTCCTCCGCCACACTCATTCTTCCTCTGTGATGTGACATCATGTCACCCTTGGATTTGATGAAATAGACTCGGGTTACTTCGATCACCAGGATACATCCCCTCACTCAGGCAAGATTCCAACATTCTATGACCAAAGGATCATTTTGAACCTGGATTTAGTTTTACCTTGAAATCAATCCCAGGCCATCTTTGTCATTTGCCACTTCATAAAATCAGACTAAGAGACAGACAGAACTTCCTGTTTGCCTGCAGAGCTCATTAAATAAGCCATCTCATTGTGGGAATAAATGTTTCTCCCGCTCTGTCCTTTCATTTAAAGCAGCATGAACAAGATGCAGTCCCAGTTTCCAGAAGGACTGTTCCACAGGCTTCACAGGGCCATTTTGGTTTCTTCTGTCTGAAAGCTAAAGTGGCCTCGACTGTGTCACTGAAGTAAAGATACGATTTGTTCCCACAGTCCCATTCATTCCAAAGGGAAGACCAAACAGATTCTGGTGGTGGTGGAGGACGCCTCTGGACTGGGATGTGTC